CGTTCTGTGATTCTGTGTGATTCTGTAATTCAGAGTATCTGAATTAAGCTTCAGCCTTGAAATCCCTGTTTAAGGAGCATGGCCCTATCTGCAGGGGACCTGGGGGTCCTTATCACCACAGGCACACTCAGTATGTGCCGCCTCATCCAGTCAGGACAGTTCCAAAAGAGGCATCAGTGTTGTAGAGGAGAAAGAAACCAGGAAATAATCTTGACCAAACCACTGCTGATTTGACTTATCTCTGACTTAAAATTGCTGAGTCAAGGGAATCTTCCTTCAAGCAAGGAGCAGGCGTTACTTGCTTTCTTCACTGTAGCTACAGACAAGTGGTCCATACTCTATCTGTGAAGCAGACTAAAGGTAATGAAATTAGCCACTGTTTTGACATAAGCTATTTAAGGTGTGCTGAGAAATGCTTGAAGAAGAATGGTTGATATTTTTTGTCATTTTTTGAGGAATACTTAGTGTATGACCAGGTAGGTGTGGGTTATACCTTTACGTATTTCTAAAATAGCTGCATAGGTTTAGGTTTTGCCTAGTTAAATACCGTGTCTCTGTATAATGAAAAATGTGTTTTTCTTCAAGGTGGTTACAGCCAGCGTTTACCAAATGTGAGCGCCCTGGGCAAGATCTTCACTGCGCTACCCTTTGGCGAGCCGGTTTTCCAGATGTTGGAGCTGAAGCTCGCCATGTACCTCGACTTCCCCGCACGCATGAGGCCGGGAGTCCTTGTCACCTGTGCAGATGACATCGAGCTGTACAGCAGCGGAGCCACAGAAACCCTCGTGTTCGACAAGCCCGGGTTTACCGCCTTGGCTCACCCTTCAGATCTGGCGGTCGGGACCACTCATGGGGTGTTTGTTTTGGATCCCTCCAGCTTTTTGGGAGAAGGAGGGCTGGAATACGCATCTTGCCGTCGTTTCCTGCACAAGCCTGATGTTCAGACGATGCGGCGGTGCGGTGCGGTGTGCGCAAGAGGGAGCTGTTCTCCGCTGGGCTCTGCAGACCACAGCTCGGAGTGCGTGTACACAGACAGCATATTCTACATGGATCACAGCACTGCCAAACTACTGCTGGCATTTTGTAAGCAGGTGGGCAGCCTTTGCTGTGAAATAGATGCGTATGGTGACTTTCTCCAGGCCCTGGGACCGGAAGCCACTCTGGAGTACACACAAAATACCAGTAACGTCATGAAAGCGGGGTCACGACTGGTAGAGGTGCGGCAGGAGCTGTACGCGCTGCTGAGGGGAACCGCACTCAACGTCATGGTGCTGAACAACTCCAAGTTCTACCACATCGGATCGACCCAGGAGTACCTGTTCCACCTCACAGCTGGCAGCAAGCTGAAGCACGAGCTCGGCTTCGTGTCCATGGCCTTTAGCGTCTGTGAGGGCGCCGCGGGCCGGGACCCCTCATCCTGCGCCATCCAGAGCATCCTGCAGCCTGAGGCTCGCGTCGGGCCCGGCTCTGTCATCGAGTGCTCCAGGGTCGGACCTGGGGTCTCGGTGGGGCAGAACTGCATTGTTAGTGGAGCACACATAAGTGCCAAGGCAGACGTACCTCCCGGCTGTTTTCTGAGCTCACTGAGTGTAAAAATCAACAGTCAAGTGGAATATGTGAGTATGGTGTTTGGTGTAGAAGATGACTTGAAGAAGAGCGTGAAATCCTTGTCAGATGTACATTCCCTGCGGTTTTTCGGAGTCAGTTTACCGCAGTGCTTGGAGCTGTGGGGGGTGAATGTTTCGGAGCAGCTCTTCTCCAGCGGGAACACGTGTCTGGGGCTGTGGACTGCCAGGATTTTTCCCGTTTGTTCCACTTTAGATGAATCAGTTACCATGTCACTAAAAATGTTAAATTCTGTGCAGCACATGACAGCTCTCAAGTTGGACAGCTTTCAGCTCTTGTCCGTTGAAGAAATGCTCGCTCACAAAGATGTAGGAGATATGTTGAAGTTTAGGGAGCAAGTTTATGATGAAATCCGTCTACGAAGACCAAGAGAGAAGTCTGGTTTATAGAAGGGACTGTGGTTGAACAGATTTCCCGTTTTCATTAATCCAAATGATGGATTACTCCCCAGCTTGTAGAAATCACAGGGAAAAAGTACATGGGGCTTTTCTCTGACTTCATTGGAGTAGAAATAATGAAATTGCATTAACAATGTTGTTGCAGCATAACGTTAATAATGGAGCAAATGCAGATGAACTGTTGATGAAGGAAGTACTGAAATATTTCAGGTCTCTGGCAGCACTTATTGGTGACTTTTCTTGGGGTGTGGACTTTTATATCTTGTCAGTAAGAATATGGTACAGAACAAATTAATCAGAAACTTAACGGAAAACTGGTTTTAAGATTTTTCAGAGTAGATTATCTCCAGCAACATGGGATGTTGTAGCAATAACTTACATTTTTCATGCTGCCTTTTTGCAGTGGTGTTTCAAATAGGTAGAGATAAATTTATTAAAAGCACTTCTTAAGACATCCTGCCTTATGCATTAATCATTTCCTTTCTCTATTTTTTTTCATTTTGTAATTTTTTTATCCTTTCCTGTTTTTCATCAGAGGAAAAAGATTTGGACTAGATGATCTTTTGAGGTCCCTTCCAATCCCTAACGTCCTGTGATTCTGTTCTGTAAGAGATCATTCCTTCCCTTGTGACTGCAAAACCCCGCATCAAGACACAGTGATTATTTTTCTTGCTGTTGGTTGTTTGGAAGCTGGGGCTTGATTGGGCAGCCCCTAACTTGTTATTAGCCATGGATTTACTGGTGTGTGCCACATGAAAACCTGTTCTTTCCCTGGTCCCCCTTCCCCACCCTGCTTCTCTGAAGGCTGGGGGTGACCCCAACCCACCTGTGCTCAGCACAGCCCCACAGCCCTGGTACTGGGTGCACTGGGATGGAGCTGTTTTCCTTGCAGCAGCTGATGGGGTTTGTGTTTTGGTTCTCACAGCAGACGTTTACATTGCTCAGGGTTTGTTTTTCATTTCCCCAGCTCCTGTGTTTATCATTTATGGTTTCCTTTGGTCATTTCCTCCTCTGCACAGAGGATGGGCAGCGAGAGCCTGAGGCTTTCTGTACAGGTGCCCCAGCACAGATGATCCGGTGTGATCGCAGCTGACCCATCCAGATGGATCTATCCCATAATAGTCACAGCACTGAAATTGGGGAGTTTGCAGGGGATGCCCCCTTCCTTCGATCCCTTCCCTTCCCTTGGTGCTGGCGCCCGTCTCGGTTCCTGAGGCTCCCTCCTCCCTTGTGGCGTTGGCGTTGCCGTACGGGCAGGGGCTGGGGGTGTGAGCTGAGTGGGACTGGGATTGCTTTGATATCAGTGTTCATATCCTTGTTACAATTAATTTGCATTATTATGATTTCACTTTGGTTTCTTTTAATCATTAAATAGTCTTCATCTCAGCTGATGAGTTCTTTATTTCTAATCTCCCGATTCTCTCCCCATCCCACCGGGGAGGGCGAGCGAGCGAACTGCGTGGTGTTTTAGCTGCTGCCAGGTTAAACCTGACTGGATTCCCTAATGGCATTTTTCTTATCCCACCTACAAGGTAGCAGCGTGGTATCTCACAAATATCACCCAAGCTGGCTTAACCTTCATCAAGTTTCTTTCTTACTGGTAGAGAATGAAGGGATGTGAAAGTCATACTGCAAATACCAAGACAGTGCTTTTCCTGCAGATCTCTTCTGAGCATGAAGAAATGTGAAGGAGCTGGATATGGAGGTTGGTAACTGCTTCAAAGTTGGCTTCAAAGGAATAAGGAGAATTTCTGAGCAAACACATTTAGAAGTCACTATATAATACTAGTTTAACAATGGTAACAGCAGTAGATTTGAGAACTTTGAAGTCCAAGACAAATGCATAAAGTCACAAAGTAAAAATAGTCCTAGAATGTGGAGTATGAAATCGTGTTTGTATGTTATCCTACCTGCATGGTCTGTCATCTGTTGTGAGTATACAAAGTATTGGGGGAAAAAGCCAATGTTCGCTACAGACTTTGTGTCTTTGGTTGGAGCCCAGAGTTTGTTCTGCACAGTTCCCCAGTGACTCTCTTGCTGCTGGACGAGCGCACTGGGTGCTCAGTAACAGCGAGATGAAGCTGTGTTTTTTTTAATGTGATTACTCACTTTAACCGGTACAGTTGCATTTATTCTGTGTTCCCTAAGTACCACGTATTGATTTCATTACTGAAGGCAACCTGACTATAAACAGCAAGAGGATTTGCTTCTGACACATAAGGAATGGAAAAAAAACCAAGGAAAAGCATACACTGGCTAAAGGGCTTTGGGAAAGGCTGGGGTGGACTGGATCAACTGCAGCTGCTATGGCTGTGGGAGCCGCTTCCTTCTAGGAACATAAACCGCAGCGGGAGTGGAGCTGGGTTATAGCATGATCAAATCGTATTAAAGTAAAAGAGACTTCAGACTGGATGCTCCCTGACAATAACAATCCATGTTTGATGTACACAATATGTGTATGTACTTTATTTGTATTGAATTTTACAAACTTTCCCTATTTTTTCTCTTTCACAGCCTGCTGCTAAGGTAAATGACAACAATTTTTTCATGCCATCAGCTGGGATAAATTTGTCCCAAGGAAAGCGAGAGATCTGTGGAGTAAAATGTAACAGCAAGGTGACAGTAATGATGGGTTGCTGGTTTCATCCAGGCCCATGATCTTCTTCCAGCCCAGGTAATGAAGGATGCGGGGCTGCAAATGGGGGTAGGAACTTCTAAGGACAGGAGGCATCTGCTGAAATTGGAGTTTGATTTTGGTTAAAGCTCGTGGAGTTTCCTGGATGGATGCAGTTTGTGTAGAGGCCTCTGGGTCATTGCTTGGCTCCATCCATCCCAAAATGCAACTTGGGCTGGTAGAGTCCCAAATAAAACCACGATGAGCGTTTAATGGTTTTAGTAATGTCAGCTTTCTTTATTGAATTAGTTTTGCTGTGTAGTGCAGTAACAGGGCTCATGATGAACACCATCTTAATGATTTCCCTGAATGCCTTGAACACGTGCTGTAATGAACAGAGACTTAGCCATACTGTATGTAGTGCATTAGGAAATCTGAGAGAGGATGATTATTTCGGTAACCTTTTAGGCAGAAAATTGAAATCTGAGAAACTGGGCACTGAAAAGGAGCACCAGGGAAGGCGGCTGAAATGAAAGCAGCTGAAGGGTGCCTGTGTCAGGGCTGGGGGAAGAGCTCCAGCACCAACGGGTCTGGATGTGGATCTGGGGCAGCGGTGGGGACTGCACAAGAATATGTATGGATCCCGTGGCTCCAGGCCCTCTGCAGCCCCCCCGATGCAGCAGCTCCGCAGTCTCCTCCACACATGTGGAGCGCTGATCCCTGTGCGCTGCCACTATGGTGCTGTGAGAACATGAATAGCGGCGCTGTTCTGTGCACCCCTTTGCACCACGGCCGCCGAGCAGCCGCTGTGAACACCCACTCCGTTGTGTGAGATACAGTGTTCCTCGCTTTTGTTAGGAAAACATCTCATTTTCCTTAAATCTTCATAAAAATGCATTATCTTTTAACATCTTTCCATTTTCTGTGGCATATCTGAATGTCCCCAGAATGACATTGAAATGTATGGGACCAGCTTGCAGCCTCTCAAAGTAGATTACAGGTATGGATAAATTCAAATTAATTTGAAATAAGGATCATTTCAAAAGGCTTCATCCTATAAAGACTCCAGGTGACAGACTTTTAAAACCAGAAGTGGGAAAATAATTTAAAAAAAAAAAAATTAATCGAAGCAATTTGTACAGTTCAGTGTTCTGTAAACATTACATCTGAAGGCTTTACTCACTGAAGAATGTTGCTCTTGACTTTTTAGTGCTACTTGTATGGATGTAAATTTGCACTGACAGTTAGGCCAGTTCTGTTATCCCTTCTCTCTTTGCAAACAGGCTCTGCAATTATTATTAACTTTTGTCTTTCCCCCCTTACTTTCAGTTATTCTGCATCTGCTTCACATATCGTGTGATGCGAGTGCTTTGGGAACTCACTGAGTGTTGCTGCCGCGGTGACCAAAGCTGTGCTGGCTTTGCTGCCAGACTGGGTTGTCCTGTGGTGCTGCAGTTTGCAGTGAGCATCCATGGGGAGGAACCTTCACCCACACAGATGTTTGCAAGGGGTGAATAAAAATATGATATGGACACTGATTACTTCTTTTTATGTATTGCCATGAAGTAGATGGCACTAGAATATAAATAATATGCAAGGCTTTTTTAAAGTGAATAATTTTATTTCTATCTTGTAACAGAAATTTAATGTTCTTGCTTGATGAAGCTGTTAATTAAAATACATTTCCTCTACAAAACATTTCCTGGCCTCTGGAGTCTGGATGGGAGAAAGCCTTGTTCTTCAGGGCAAAGAAGTGCCAAAACCTAGTTTGTTGGGTTTTTCCTAGCATTTCATCCTGCTGTGAGCCATCATCCCCCAGTGGGGCAGTAGGAGGCCTCGGTAGCAGAATGATGGGTGAGACCCTCCGGGGATGGTGACCTCCAGGGAAAGGGCAAACTCCCCTGTCTACAGTGAGTGTGATGTTTATGATATGGAATAATTCCATATCCCATTAATTCCAGATATTTAATTAATATTAATTAATGGGATATTCCATATCCCATTAATTCCAGATTCCATATCCCAATAATTCCAGATCCCATTACAGAACAAATACGAAG